TATTATATATATAATAAAAAGTAAGGTTTTTATGGTTTTCCAGCATACATGCTTTTGGTGTTGAAAATGATGTCTTTGAAGGAGCACTATAACAAATGCCCACAAGATCTCAGTCCCCTGTGTCGAGCATAGTTCTTAATATATATTTTTCATTTATTTTTATTATATTTTCAGGCACATTTTTCTCATGTACAAGCACCAGGTGGAATGGCACCGTTGCCTACAGGGATGCCTGGATTCCACCCGGGGTTGCCTAGGCTTGCTCCTCCTCAGCAGTTGTATTTTGGTCAAGGTGCGCCTGGTCTTCTACCTCCTCAGCCTGCTGCCTATGGCTTCCAGCAGCAACTCTTGCCTGGTATGCGCCCAGGTGTTGCCCCAAATTTCATTATGCCATTCCAACTTCAAAGGCAAGGACAACCTGGACATCGAGTAGGCGCCAGAAGAGGTGGGAACCCTCAACAGATGCAGCAACAGGTGTACTATTGTTCTTATCTTACTCCCAGGATTTTTATTTTTATTTTTAAATTATACTTGGTTTTTCCATCTAGTGAGAATTTCCCAAGGATTGATTTATGAATGTTTTTGTTCCATGTCAGACAATCACTCTATTTTGTTCTGCTTTTGTTTCATTCTTGGTTTCTCTAATGGTTTGATAATTTTTCGTAATTTTAAATTTAAATATAGTTGGTGCATCGTAACTCCAACCAAGGCTTAAGATACATGGCCAATGCACGAAATGGGATGGACCCGTCTATGGTTCCTCAAGGTCTCTTGACTCCAATGATGCCATTGCCTTTTGATGTTCAACGTCCTGGGCCAGTGCCGATGTCAGCACTTGCTTCTGCTTTGGCTTCTGCTTCTCCTGAAAATCAGCGCCTGGTGAGTTTATTCTCCCTCTCCTTTACTATAGCAATATATGTATATTGAATTTACAGTTTGGGAAAATATTATTAGTACTTTAGAAAATGAATTTTCCCCCATAGGTACACATATGGCAGAGGAAATGAGAAATGAAACTTTTAATGAATAATAAAAAGAGACTTATTTTGAATTGTTGACTCATGATTCTTTCTTGTGTCAAAATGACAGATGCTAGGGGAACAGCTGTTTCCGCTTGTGGAGCGGATTGAGCATGAAAATGCTGGAAAAGTAACGGGCATGTTGCTAGAGATGGACCAGACGGAGGTGCTCCATTTGATTGAGTCTCCAGATGCTTTGAAGAGGAAAGTTGCTGAGGCCTTGGATGTCCTCCATTTATCAGCACCAGGATCTGATGTCGGTGATCAGCTAGGCTCATTGTCGTTGAATGAATGAAGCATATACCCAATTTTGCTTAGAGCATATACATTTCTTCATTTGTGTGCCCAGTTTTTATTAGGGCTTTGACGAAGCTATGATTGATTGTCGGGGTTTTTTTGCCTATACTAATTTTTAGGATCTAAGGGTGACCATTGATTCAATGGTAAAACTTTGACCTAATAACCTTGAGGTTATGAGTTCAAGTCTCAGGGCAATCACTTTGTGCACTATGCCAAATGTTAGGTGTGTGCCTAATCTTTTCCCTCAGATACACACATTAATGTTTACTTTTTGGGCGTTGTTACTAATATTTAGGATCTGTTCAACTTTTGAGGGTGACAATGGTGTTCATTGCTGATTTTGTTTTAGGCTTCTGACTTGGTATGGTGGGATGTTGAATACCTGGGATTACTAGGATTATTATTTTTGTCAGTTTGTTTAGGTTATCCGTCATTGACATTTTTCTGATGAGTAGTTGGTTGTTTTTGTTTTGACTTCTATTTATTCAGCTATTATTTTGATCTTGATCTTAATTATTTGTAGTGTATTAGTTGTGTTTTTTGTTTCTTAATAATATAATATTGGTTGTGTTTACAACCTAAGTTTACTTGAAAGAGTGATCCTTGATCTTGAGTAGATCAAAAATGAAAAGCAGCTTGGGTTTGCTCCTAACGGTCCATTTGTTTTTAAAGGCAGGATGGAGGAGATTGATAGTGAGATGATTAAGTAAAATTGTGTTTGTTTTTATGGTGGTTGGTAGTGTGGAGATTGTTAAATTATTTTTATATAAAATAATAAAACAAATAAAAATCATGGTTTTAACTTCTTTTTTTTTAAAAAAAAAACAATTTATTAAAGAATATTGTTTCAAAATGTATTGCTCAACATGTTTAAAAAAATAAATAAATAAATTGCACTTGGCCGGTTGACCAGCTAAACGACCGGTAACCGGTAACATTTTAAGCTGAGAATAAAGCTTTGGACCCTTAGTGGGGGTACTGGGGTCCCTTCCCATTGGTCCAAAAAAGCAAATTTTTTTTTTTTTGAGTTTTCAGCCATTACCAGACCCCCACGTGGAGGTGGGGTGCTGGGGGTCTCCCCTGCTGGGGGTCTCCAGCAGGGCCCAAATTTTAAAAGCTTTTATTTTGTTTTTAAACTGATGGCCCAGTCAGATGCTGCCACCTACATGGTATAATACCTTTCCGGCAACCAAAACAGCAGGAAAACCTTGTCCATAAAAAAATTGCATAATAAAATGAAATTTCCCAAAAATTTCTATACCCCCTTGTAATGTTCCCCCAAACTAATCAAAAAGTTGAAAAAAGTTATTTAAAAGGAGTCACTTTTTCTTTAATTTTTTTTACACATTTTTATATAGAAAATTAAAAATATTAAAAAAGTCAATTTCCAAAATAGGCTTAGATATGCATGCCAAAAAAAATTTAAAAATGGCACTTTGTGTAAGATTTACCTTCAAAAATGCTTGGGTTTGTTTGGGAAATGAATTTTTTACTTAAAATGTGAAGTAAATTAAAAATTAAAATATTTGAAAATAAATTTTTGACTTTTTACACAAAAAATAACGTACAAAAAATATAAAAAGAATGATTTTTTTTTTAACTTTCTTTTATGATTTTTTTATTTTTTTTATATAACTTTCCATAATAATTTAAAATTTTAATCTGATCTCTTATTAAAAATGTCATCGATAATCATAGATAAATTTATTTATAAATCCCATTAATAAAAAAAAATACAATCAATTTTTTTAAAAAAAATATTCTAGAAATACAATCTATATATATTTTGTTTTTAATAAGTAATATGATTTCACACAAAACAAGAAAATGATATTAAAATTACTAACTAAATTTTTATTTCATTAAATTTTCTTATACTTTTGTTTTTAAGGAAATAGCATTTGATCCATGAAGATACCCCAACCCAACCCAACCCAATCTATATAGTGTACAACATTTAGCTAGCCATACACACAAAAGCACAAGTAACCAATAAAATGTCCAGTGTCATGCAATTCCTAGAGCAAAAATTCACCTTATTCCAACCATTATCCTTCTCACTCCTCCTCTTTCTTTCCCTCCCTTTCCTTCTCAAATGGCTCCTCTCCACCACCACCACCACCAAAAAAAACCTTCCGCCATCACCACTAAAGCTCCCCATCATCGGAAACCTCCATCAACTCGGCCTCTACCCCCACCGCTCCCTCCTCTCCCTCTCCAAACTCCACGGCCCCGTCATGATCCTCCACCTCGGTTCCTCCCCGGCCGTCGTTGTCTCCTCTGCCGCCGCTGCCAAAGAAATCATGAAAACCCATGACCTAATTTTCTCAAACCGCCCCGAATTCCGAATCAACCGAAAGCTCCTCTACGACCTTAAAGACGTCTCGGTCGCCCCCTACGGCGAGTACTGGAGGCAATTAAAAAGTATCTTCGTCCTCCAACTCCTCAGCACCAAAAGGGTTCAGTCCTTTCGCCCCGCTCGCGAAGCAGAAACAATAAACATGTTAGATTTCATCGAAAAATCGTGCATTTCATCACCATCATCGCCACCGTTGAATCTGAGCGAGATGTTTTCGTGGCTGACGAGCGACGTCGTGTGCATGGCGGCGTTTGGGAAGAAGTATAGGGTTGGGGAGAGAGGAGAGAAGTTTCAGAAGCTTTTGAGGGAGTTTGTGGGGCTTGTGGGTGGTTTTGATGTGGGTGATTTTATTCCTTGGCTTGGATGGGTGAGTCGACTCAGTGGGAAAGATGGTGAAGTGGATAGAGTTGCTAAAGAGCTTGATGAGTTCTTGGACTCAGTGGTTCAAGAGCATGAAGATAGAATGGTGGAATGTGGAGGAGAGAGTGATGAAAGTAAAGAGGACTTTGTTGATACAATGCTTAAGATTCAAAGGGATAATAAGTCTTCTGTTACTATTGATAGAGATAGTATCAAAGCTTTGCTTTTGGTAAGTTTGATTACCATCCTAACTTTGAAAAGAGTCGTTTTAGTCTTTTGTTTGGGGAAAAATATTTTTCTATGTTTGTTTTGATTTTTTTTTTAAATATTTTTCTGTAAAAATTATATGATATTTTTATAATTAATAAAAATAAATAAATAGTGAGGTGATGGTGATGGCAATGGAATGAGAAAATTATTAGATACTTTAGAGTAAGATGCAACCGTATTTACATGATATTCTTAATCGATGAAAAATTATCGCACTAAATGTCTCGCTTTTAAAAATCTCCAGTACATTATTAGTTTGGAGGGGTTTGCGGTGGTCATAGAATGGTGGAGGTTGGTGGTAGTAGTAGTGTGGTAGTAAAATATTTTTTATGTTCAAACAAATTTAGTTTCTGTTGATCATGAAATATATTTTTTGTTAATTTTTTTTATTATGTCAAACACTAAAAATTAAAAAATATTTATATCTTTTTAGAGATTAAATAGTTTTGAATTAAATATTTTAAGAATTTAATAAATTCAATTGATAGTTTATGAATTAAATAGACTTTAATTTATATATTTTGGGAGCTTGCTGTTAGTTTAGCGACTGAGTAAATAATTATAAAGTGTAATAAATTGTATGGTTGTTAATCAATAAACAACTTTAAATTAGGTCAACTTGCACACAAAACCACGCTGTTTTTCGTTCTTAATGATTTGTTGTAGTACGATACTGGTGTCATTAACAATTCAGAATATATTTTTGTGGAATTTTGTCAGAAAATTAATTTTGGTTTTTTAGAAATTATTTTCTGAGTTTTCATTAATTAAAATTCTGTTTTCAGTATTTTAATTATTGAAGTGTTACTGAAATTAAATTTATGTGTGGAATTAATTTGGTTAAATAAAATTTTATTTTATTTCCAAACTAATTGAAAAAAAAAAGTTATAATTTTTATTCAAAAACAATTTTCTTTATAATTTTTTTTTTTAAATGAAAGCATAAAACAGAAATAGAAAGTGGGCTTTTTTTTTATAGAGCAAATTACAATTCAGTCAATCTTTTTAAAAAAAAAAATAATTTGTGATAAACCTTACAATCATTAATAATTAAAGTCATAATTTTTTTTATTAATTTGTGAATATTTTGTGAAATAATCATTAATGTGTAATTAATTTGTGAAATAATCACAATCATTAATAATTAAAATTATAAATTTTTTCATTAATTTGTGAAAACCTCACAATCATTAATAATTAAAATTATAAATTTTTTCATTAATTTGTGAAATAATCACAATCATTAATAATTAAAATTATAAATTTTTTTCATTAATTTGTGAAATAATCACTGTTGTGTCATCCCCCCACCCCCCTCCTCCTGCATTTTTAGTTTTCGTTATTCCTTTCCTTCCACTAAATAGTTTTGCATCAATTAACTAAGGTGTCAGTTGGTAATGTTTATGTCTTTTCACAGAAACCATTAAACATTTGTATTTTTATTTTTGATAAAAACAAAAATGAAGAATATATTTGGTTCATGTATTTTTAAAATTCGTTTTTGAAAACAAGTGAAGGGGATAGCCAACGGAAGGTGACGTACTTGTCCACGGCTCAAGATAGTGGCTAGAGGTGTTTGGCGGGAGTAAGAGGTGATTGCCTATCGTGGGAAGCGGTAGCTAGAATTGATTACCGATGGTTAAAGATGGTGATCGGTTGTGATGGCCGAATGTAATTTCTAGCCAGAGTTAGTTGTCACTAGTGGGAGGTGGTTTCTAGAAGTGATTGTTGGAGGAGGACAACGACAATGGTGGCTGGAGTAGGGGTTGGCCAGATGTGGTGTTTGGTAGTGAAGCCAATTTTTGTTTTGTTTTTTTTTTTTTTTTTGTTGCGGGAATTTAGTAAATTTTACAAAATTTAAAACAAAAATTGATATCAAACGAGTAATTACTTACATTTAAAAAAAAAAAAATCACTATAAATATGCACTTTACCAAACAGGTATAGTGGTACTCTAATAGCACTCATAATGATGTAATAGTGGGAGTCCATTGCCTATATATGCCTTGTTTGTTTGTTTTTTTTTGCCTTTATATGCCTTGTTTTTTTGTTTTTTTTTTTTTTTTTTTGATTTTTGACATTCCTAATGTATTAGTATTAGTAGTCTTTAGCAGTTAGAATCATTGTTGTTATATTTTTATCTTTTGTAGGATGTTTTCGCCGGAGGAACAGACACAACCTCAACAGTCCTAGAATGGGCAATGACACAGCTCCTGAGACACCCCAAAACCATGAAAAAACTCCAAACCGAAATCAGAGCCATAGCAAGAGGCAAACCCACCGTCACAGAAGACGATCTAGACAAAATGGACTACTTAAAAGCAGTCATCAAAGAAACTCTCCGTCTCCACCCTCCTGTCCCAATGCCAATCCCCCGTGAAGCCAGCCAAGAAGTGGACGTAATGGGCTACCATATCGCTGCCAAAACCATCGTCATCATCAACGCTTGGGCCATCGGGAGAGACCCCGAGTCGTGGGAGAGGCCCGAGGAGTTTTGGCCGGAGCGGTTTTTTAACTCCGCTGTGGATTTCAGAGGACATGACTTTGAGTTGATTCCGTTTGGGGCCGGTCGGAGGGGGTGTCCTGGAATTTCATTTGCAATGGCTACTAATGAGATTGTGTTGGCAAATCTTATGCATAAGTTTGATTGGGAGTTTCCTGAGGGAGTTAAGGGTGAGGATTTGGATATGAGTGAGTGTACTGGTCTTACTATTCACAGGAAAGTTCCTCTATTCGCCGTTGCAACTCCGTGTTTTTAGTTGATGTCTGGGTTCGAGTTTTACTGTTTGTTGCCTGAATGCATCTTCATTGTTGGACTAGTGGGAGATAGGCTTTGAGTTCGAATTTTATCTGTTGCATCAATACATACTGGTGCTGCAACTCCGTGTTTTTAGTTAATTGATGTCTCAATTCGAGTTTTACTATTTGTTTGGTGTGTCGATGCGTCTTTCTTGTTGGACTAGTAAGAGATAAGGTTTGGGTTCGAGTTTTACTGTTTGTTTCTTGCGTCAATGCATCTTCCATGTTGGACTAGTGAAGCATGCTCTGTGACGTTTCTTTTGTCAGTATTCAAATAAAACTTCAGCCTGATGACGAATGGTTGTCTGTTGTTTTTATTTCTTTTCAATTAGGTTGCCGCCTCGTTAAGAATATACAATTTTAATATTTTTTAAAATTTTTTATAATATAATATATAAAAATAATAATATAATAATTTATAGTAATTTTGTATTTTTTTTAACTAAAATATTTAGTCCCTAAAAAAATGATAGATATGTGGCATAATGAGAAGTAATCAAGTCCAACGTTTACTTAATATATGTGAATAAATGATGATTCCATCCGTCTCGTGGAAGAGGCAATCAAAGATTTCACATATATGATTCAATCTAGATTTCATCTTCTTTATCAATCATAAATTTGTAACATTGAGAGATTAAGCTTAGGAAATTCACAATCCAATCACATAGGATAAAAGGTGAAAGTAACCATTTTATTCACTACAAGAAAAGTGGAGTTAAAAGATGGAAGCATTTGAGACGGCACGCTTGCCGTTTTGAGACGGCACAACTTATCATCGCGAAAAACGAGAGTATTTGCGACAGCAGAAATTGCTGTCGCAAAAAAAAGAGAATATTTTAGACGACAGAGATTGCTGTCGCAAAAAAATAGAGTTTTTGCGATGACACCAGCTGCAGTCGAAAAAAAAGTGAGTTTTTTGCGACTGTAATAGGTACTGTTGCAAAAAAAAAAGTTAAAAAAAAATATTGTGGCTTTGAGACGGCTTCATATATATATATATATATACAGTCACAAAATAGTTTGAATAAATGCAATGGTATTTTTCTATCGCAAAAAAAAAAAAAAAAAAAAAAAAAAAAAAAAAAAAAACGACGTCGTCTTACTCTTTTGATATAACATTTCTCTTTTCACCTATCTTTTCAGTTTCTTGTCTCTTTGTCTCTGTCTCAATCTCTCTCTGCCCCTCTCTCTCTCTCTCTCTCTCTCTCTCTTCTCTTTCTCTCTCTCATACCTCACTATTCTCTCTCTGTATATCTGTCTGTCTGTCTGTCTCTCTGTGTCTCTCGCTCATCTTTCTCATCTCTATCTTTCTCATCTCTTTTCTCTCTTTTCTCTCTCGCTTGTCTCTCTTCTCTCTCGCTCATCTCTCTTCTCTCTATCTCTTTCATCTCTTTTCTCTCTATCTCTCTTCTCTTTCTGTCTCTCTCTTTTTCTATGTCTCTCTCTCTCTCGTTTATCTCTTTTTGCTTTCTTTCTCTCTTTATTTGTTTATCTCTTACTCATCTCTTGTTTCTTTCTTTCTCTCTCTCTCTCTCGTCACTCTTTTCTCTCTCTCTTTTTTTCATTCTGTCTGCCTAACTGTTTGTCTGTCTGTCTATTTGTCTCTCTCCCACTGTGTTCGCGTTGCTCACTCTCTCCATCTCATCTTCTCTGTTTACTGAGCTCCCTCTCGATTTATCGATCCACTACAAGAAAATACACTTTTAGCGACCACTTTGTCTCTCTCTCGCTCATCACTCTCTCTCTCTCTCTTTCTCTCACCACCCATCTTCTCTGTCACCTTCACCACTACTGCAGACGCCATTCTAGTACCATCACTACTATCACTGTCGCTACTTCACCTCTACGACTACCATTACTACTACCATCACCACCACTCCACTACCACCACTACCACTACTGCCACTAATACTACTATTAGCTCTCTTTCACCCCTGCTTCTCCATCTACTCTACCACTACCACAACTTCACCACTAACCCCCTTCGTCATCACCACCATCATCTCTTATCCACCACCTTCACCACTACTGCCGCTCACTCTCCTCTACTACAAAAAATTAGTTCATGATTTTTAGTAACCAAAAAAATGGGCCGTAGAAAAATATTTTTCATTGACCACAGAAAATTAAATTTTATTTTAGTGGAAAATACTTTTTATTAAAATATTATCCCTACTTCTGCCAAATAAAAAATAATAATAAATTTTTTTTCATTAAAATAAAAATGAAACAAATAAATTTTTAATCTTAGTAACTAAAAAAAAAAAAATTTAAAGAAAAATTCATTGACTACAAAATTCGTGGGAGAGGCCCGAGGAGTTTTGGCCGGAGCGGTTTTTTAACTCCGCCGTGGATTTCAGAGGACATGACTTTGAGTTGATTCCGTTCGGGCCGGTCGGAGGGGGTGTCCTGGAATTTCATTTGCAATGGCTACTAATGAGATTGTGTTGGCAAATCTTATGCATAAGTTTGATTGGGAGTTTCCTGAGGGAGTTAAGGGTGAGGATTCGCCGTCGCAACTCCGTGTTTTTAGTTGATGTCTGGGTTCGAGTTTTACTGTTTGTTGCCTAAATGCATCTTCATTGTTGGACTAGTGGAAGATAGGCTTTGAGTTCGAATTTTTTCCGTTGCATCAGTACATACTGGTGCTGCAACTTCCGTGTTTTTAGTTAATTGATGTCTCAATTCGAGTTTTACTATTTGTTTGTTGTGTCGATGCGTCTTTCATGTTGGACTAGTAAGAGATAAGGTTTGGGTTCGAGTTTTACTGTTTGTTTCTTGCGTCAATGCATCTTCCATGTTGGACTTGGACTAGTGAGAAGCATGCTCTGTGGCGTTTCTTTTGTCAGTATTCAAATAAAACTATGGTTGTCTGTTGTTTTTGCCGCCTCGTTAAGAATATACAATTTTAATATTTTTTAATTTTTATAATATAATATATAAAAAAAATAATATAATAATTTATAATAATTTTGTATTTTTTTTAACTAAAATATTTAACCCCAAAACAAGATCAAAGAAATCCGGATATTTGGAGTGGACCTCCGCCTAATGGGGATCGGGTTTCCCCTCGACCCTAGAAAATAAATTAAAACCAATATGTTTTAAGAATGATTTTTTAAAGTCCTAGATTTCATCTTCTTTACCAATCATAAATTTGTAACATTGAGAGATTAAGCTTAGGAGGTTCACAATCTAATCACATAAGATAAAAGGTGAAAATACCATTTTATTCCTGTTTTACAAAATAACAAAGGCACCTAATACTTATGGTCGACTCGGTGTAACATAACTAGTAATAACCAGAATCAAAGCACTAAACAATATCTAACCAAAATTTGACATTTAAATTTTTTATGAAAAATGTTCAAAATGTAGGGTGAATAAAAAGAAATCTTTAACTTTTTTTATAAGAATTAAATTTTTTATCTATTTTTAATAACTTTTTAATTAAAATAAATACTTTCCAAACGGACTCAGTTGTAGGCATGGTGACATTGCTCCAAATAAAATGCAGAAATTATTGTCTCTTTCAAAATTTCAATTTCAGGTTGCAAATTGTCACTTATGTGGTGCAATATTAGAAAGGGTTGTTTTCTTAAGTTTAAATATAAGTTTTTGTTAAGAAAATTTGATGTGAAAATAAGACCAACTATGGGTTTTTTTCAATAATCAAAATTATTTATTTGTAAGATTTTCCGTGTAAATCGTTCAGAAAATATGTAATTGATCATATAATCATAACAATTTATTTTATCGTGTTTGTTTTTAAGAAAATGGATGGCCTCTCCGTTCATTTTTCGTAAAAAGTCAAAAATTCATCCCAAACATATTAGTTTTTTTTAGCTCATATTTTAGCCAAATAGCCAAAAAATTACTAAATTAGTCTGTTCTCAAACAAGGCCTAAGTGCTAAATTGGAAGGTGTTATTTAGGTTCATAGGGCCTATCATAAGATTTATTTTGATAGTTCGAATCGTTCATTTTAAAAGATTTTTGACATATATGATTCATAAATAAAATTAAATCGATCTCATAATCCTAACATGTTCAATTTATTAATTTTATTTCTAAAATCAGTTAGACTCAAATTAGTAAATATCAAATTAGCCATCCCTAATATACATAATATCACCTGTATAAACTTTTAATATAAGACGAGGTTGTTACAATTGAACTCCTCTAGCACCGTCATACAACATTAGCAATAATAATAATAATAATAATAATAAAGACTTCAAGGCCTGCGTCCATAGTTGGTCAGTTGTATGTCAGTCAATGCATACATAATAAGGAATTCGGATCTTCGGTCGCACTCCCCTGTCGCATTCTCCTGTCGCCCTCCAAAACGACGTCGTTTTGGAGGGGTTCTTTTTTTTTTTCTTTTCTTTTTCTTCTTTCTCTTCGGTCTGCGTCTGGTTTTGAAGAAAATCAGAGAGGGGAGGGGAGGGGAAGAAGAGAGAGAGGAAGGGAGAAGAAGAGTTGAAGCAAACCACCTCTCCTCTATCCTCCACTCCGGCCGGATCTGGAACAAAAACCAATTCATCAAAATCTGTAAAAAAAAACCAATTCAGATTTCAAATCTGTAAAAAAAAATCAGATTTCAACAAACATCATCATCAACAAACCCAGAAAAAAAAAATCTGATTTGAAATTGGTTGGATCTCCTTCTTCCCTGTCGCACTCTCCTCTTCCTTTTTTTCAAATCAAATCAGATTTTTTTCAAATCAGATTTTGGATCTCCTTGTTAAGAAAGAGGAAGATTTTGGATCTCCTTTTTTTCAAATCAGATTTTGGATCTCCTTTTTTTTCAAACAAACCCCTTCCTCTCTCTCTTCTTCCCCTCCCCTCCCCTCCCCTCTCCTCTCTGGTTTTCTTCAAAACCAGACGCAGACTGAAGAGAAAGAAGAAAAAGAAAAGAAAAAAAAAAAAATCCCTCCAAAACGACGTCGTTTTGGAGGGCGACAGTAGAGTGCGACAGGGGAGTGCGACCGAAGATCCGAATTCGCCGGGAAGACCGACGGTTAAGTAGCTAGCTTTTTAACCAGCCCGCTGGAGGCCAAAATGTATTATGGCTGGCTAAACCCTGTTTGGCAGGGCTTATTTCTAATTTATTTTAATTTTTAGTTTAATTTAAATTATTTTGATATGTTTGGTTTAATTTATAGTTTTTTGTAAGTCAAAAATCAACTTATTCTTTGAGTGGAGGAAGAGAAGCTTAATTTATAAGTCAAAAATCAACTTATATTCATAGTTATAAGTTATAAGCTGTTAAATTATAAGATATAATCACTTTCATACAACTCTACCAAA